AAATTTATGTTAAACTTAATTAAATAATGTTATTCCATTACTTAAATAAGCAACAGATGCTCTAGAGAAAATATCAAGAGAAGATATGATTTTATTAAAATCATTTATTTATCCTCCTCCTTCAGCTGCAATTGTAATGGAAGGATTATGTTATGCATTTGAAATTGATGATCAAGTATTATCAAAAAATAAAGATCCACCAACTATTTAAGATTTTTGGGATTTTGCAAAAAAGAATTTATTAAATGATAAATTAATTAAAAGAATTAAAAAAATGAAATTAGAAGAAATTAGAGCTATTAATATTGTAAATATAGAAAAACTTGAAGTTTTTTCATAAAATCCATTATTTGATAGAGATAAAGTATTTAATGCTTCTACTGCTGCAGGTAATCTTTCTGATTGGATCAGAGCTGTTTTAAATAGTTATTAAGCTGTTGAAATTATTGAACCAAAGAAATAATAATTAGCAGAAGCAGAAGTTAGATTGAAAGATGCAGAAGAGAAATTAGGAATAAAAAGATCAGCATTAGATGAAGTTATGATTGAATTAAAAAGATTATCTAATGAATATCAAAAAGCAAGAATTGAAAAAGAATAAATAGAATAGAAAGTAGAAAGTATAACAATATAATTGTAAAGAGCAGAAAAATTAACTAATAATCTTTCAGATGAAAAAGTTAGATGGAAAAAGAAAACATAAAAAATTAAAGCAGAATAAAATACACTTGAAGGAGATAGTATTCTATGTTCAGCTTTAATATCTTATATGGGAGTATTTCCTATTTAATATAGAGAAAATGCAATATAATTATGGTAAATGAAATTATTATAAGAAGGTATTTAATCTTCTTCACCATTTCAATTATAAAAATAATTAAGTGATCCATTATAAATAAATAAATGGATACAATAGAAATTACCTAATGATCAATTTTCTATTGATAATGCTATTATTATGAAATAATCATCAAAATGGCCTTTGATTATTGATCCTTAATTATAAGCAAATCAATGGATTAGAAATATGGAAGATAGCAAAAGTTTATTAATTTTTAATGCAAGATCACCAATTTAATAAGTATAATTATAATTAGAACATGCTATATAAATTGGATATGCTGTCTTAGTTGAAAATGTTACAGAAGATATTGATCCTTTATATATATAAATTTTATCATAGAAAGATTTTGGATCAACTCCTTAAATTAAATTCTTTGATAAAGTCATTGAATAATCTAATGATTTTAGATTTTATCTTACATCTAAATTAGATAATCCACATTATTAACCTTAAATTTGTGTTATGGTTACATTATTAAATTTTTAAGCAACACTTTAAGGATTAACAGATTAAATGTTAAATGTAGTTGTCAAAATTGATGAACCAGTTAAAGAAGAATTAAGAATTAAAAATATCTTTTATTTTATATCTAATTAAGATAAATTAATAAAAACAGAAGATTAAATGTTAGAATTACTTTCTTAAGCAGGAGGTGATTTATTATAAAATGAAACAATCATTATTGCATTATAAAATACAAAAGATGAAGGTAATAATATAGAAGAAAGAATACGTAAATTAGAGACTGATAGTTAAGCATTCAATGTTACTAGATAATCTTATTAATAAGTAGCTGAAACTGTTGCAAATTTATATTTTGTAGTTTATTATTTAGCTACAGTTGAACCAACTTATTTATGGTCATTAGATTTTTATGTTGCTCTTTATTCTAAGGCTATTAAAGAAGCTTAATAAGGAAAACTTAAAAGAAATTAAAATATTATTGATAAATTTATACAAATGCTTTATAATGCTATCAATAGATCTTTATTAGAAAAAGATAAATTAATTTTTAGATTTCTATTATGTTAAAGATTGATGAATGTACCTATTAATTTGGTTAGAACATCAGTTATGGGTTGTTCATTAACCTCTACAGAAATAGCTATGCCTAAAGAATACTCATGGTTAACTTATAAAATGTGGTTAGCATTAGTTGATCTTTAATAATAATATCCACATATATTTAATGGACTTTGTGATTCATTTATAAATAATAAACCATTTTGGGATCATTTCTATTCTAGTTCTCATAGTTTTAAGATATAAATATTAAATTTAGATTAATTTTAAAATAATATGATTGTTAAAATTATTAAACCAGAATAATTTATATAAGCAACAAATGAAATGATTAGAACATTTATGGGTTAAATATTTTTAGAAAGTATTCCCATTACATTTGAATAATTTTATTTAGAATCTGATCAAAATACTCCATTACTTTGTGTTACAACTCCAGGTGCTGATCCAAGATCTGAAATAATTGCTCTAGCTCATAAATATTGGTTTTAAGATAAACTTAATGTTATATCATTAGGTTAAGGATAAAGTTAATTAGCAATTAAATTAATTTTGAAAGCTATTTAAAATGGAAATTGGGTACTCTTATAAAATTGTCATTTGGCAGCATCATTTATGCCTGAATTAGAAAAATTATATGAAAATTAATTAAAATAAAATATCCATTAAAATTTTAGACTTTGGTTAACTACTTTACCTACAAATTTATTACCATAAAATGTAATTATAAGAGGTAAATAATTTTGATAATTAATTTATAGCACTTAAGATGACTTATGAATTGCCAAGAGGAATAAAGAATAACATGTTGAGATCATATTTATCTTAAGATACAGAAAAATTTGAATTATGTAAAAGATTAAAAGAATGGAAGAATTTGTTTTTTTCTTTGGCTCTTCTTCATGCATGTTTACTTGAACGTAAAAAATATGGACCATTAGGATGGAATATAGGATATAATTTCTCATAACATGATTTAGAAATGTCTAAAGAATAAATTCTATACTTTCTTGATTAAAATAATGATATTCCATGGGATGCTCTTCATTATTTAATAGCAGAAAATAATTATGGAGGAAGAGTCACTGATCCAGTTGATAGAAAATTGTTAAATATTTATGTTAATGACTTTATTAATAAAGATATTGTAGAAGGTTTCTCATTTAATGATGTTTATAAAGTACCTATAGAAATGTCCTTAAAAGGATACATAGAATATATATCAGGATTTCCAATTGCAGATCCTCCTTAGTTATTTGGTTTACATCCAAATGCTGAAATCTATTCTGCCATTTTAGATACAGAAAACTTAAGTTCTACTATTTTGTAATTGCTTCCTAGAACTTTAGGGGATTAAAGCATACATCCAGATAAATTAGTTTAAAAGAAAGGAAAATCTATATTGAATGAATTACCTGCTTAATTTGATATTTAATTAGTTGAATTAAAATATCCATTACTTTAAGATAATTCTATGCATACACTTATTTAATAAGAAGTTAATAAATATAATAGATTAATTTCTCAAATATCAAAATCATTAGAATAACTTATGTAAGCACTTGAAGGCTATATTAATATGACAGATTAATTAAATGATATTTACAATTCCATTTTTGATAATAAAATACCTTTAGATTGGATCAAACTCTCTTATTTGACAACTAAACCATTAGGATCTTGGTATAGTGATTTACTTAAAAGAATTTAATTTTTAGACAGTTGGATTAATAATGGAGAACCTACAATCTTTTGGCTTGGTAGTTTTTTCTTTATTCAGGGATTCTTAACTGCAGTATTATAGAATTATTCAAGAAAATCTAAGATTCCAATTGATTAATTAAAATTTGATTTTGAATTTATGAAACAAACTCCAACTGAAATTTCAAATGGAATTTTTATTGAAGGTTTATCAATTGATGGAGCTTAATTTGATTTAGAAGAATAAACTCTATTGGAACCAGAACCAAATATATTATTTTTTAAATGTCCAATAATTAAGTTTATACCAACAAATTAACCAAAAAAATATAATCATTATTCATGTCCATTATATAATACTTCTTAAAGAAAAGGAGTTTTAACTTCAAATGGTTTATCAATTAACTTTATTTGCAATATAAAAATACCAATAAAAAATGAAAAGAAACATTGGTCTAAAAGAGGAGTAGCTTTGATAATCTAAATTGATTGATATTATATATTTATTGGTTATTTTATATTTAATTTAACAATATATATTTAGAATGATTTTCATAAGATAAAATTTGAAAGGATTACAGAAATATTTGAATACTTTAAATAAGATAATATATAATTAATAAATATAAAATAGAAAACTTCAAGAGAAAAATATCAGAGCTAGGCCATACTTATAAAATAATTAAGAAGCAATATCATTTCTAGATTATATAAAATGGATATAATACATGAAGTATGATTAAGCCTTTCTTGATTGAAAAAAATAACAACAAGAAATTGAGAATTAAATTAATCAGAAGCTAAAGTATCAACTTTAATAATTTAATATCATAGGAAATAAATCTATTATGCAAAATAACTATACAAGATAGTTATGATGAAATGAATTCGGATAAAAAAAAAATCATTAAATTTTATGAATACTATAGCCTCATGATTAAATATAAATTGTATTTTATATATTTATTCCATATTTTTTAAATTCTAATATATCTTTCTTTATATGCTTTTAATATATATTTTAATAGTGATATTAATGAAAATATATTAAATATATGAAAAACCTTTTTGTTTGAATATTCAATCTTCTTATATTTTTATAATAAAATCTCAGTAAACTATTATTCAGAAAACATAAAATTTATTATTATTAATTTTTAATTTATTATTCAGCACACTTTACATCTTCTTTTTTATAAAATATGATTAATATTTTCCACAAGAAGATTGAGAATATTTCTTTAAGGGATAAAATTTTATTAAATATAATACTATTTGTTTTGATTACGTATTAACAGTTTAGGTTAATTAAAATGCCACCTTTTAAATCAAGATATATCATCTCTTGAAATTTAAATTTTTAAACATAATCTTCATCAAATGATATGGAAAAGGATTAAATAATTTAGAATACACATTCTTATCAGAATTGATGGGTACTTCATATTTTGGTCATTAAATTTTTAATTGTTATGCACCAGAAACTGGAAATATAAAATTATTGATTATGGCAGGGACAGATTAATAAAAAGAAAAATATTTAAAACCTCTTTTAGAAGGTGAATGTAAAGCATTTTTTGCTATGACAGAGAGAAATGTTGCTTCATCTGATCCAACCAACTTTGAAACTACAATTACTAAATAAGGAGATGGATATATTATCAAAGGAAGTAAATGGATGGTTACAGGTATACAAGATCCAAGATGTAAATTTGGTATTATAATGGGCAAAACTACTGTTAATTCTAAATCACCTTTCACAGAATAAACATTGTTCTTAGTTGATACACAACATCCAAATATTAAAATTTTAAAGCCATTATCAGTTCTTGGTTATGATGAAGCACCAAACGGACTTGGAGAAATGATTTTTGATAATGTTTATATTTCCAAAGAATAAATGTTAGGTAAAGAAGGAGCTGCCTTTGCTATGTCTTAAGGTAGACTTTTGGGAGGAAGATTACATCATTGTGTTAGATTATTAGGATTAACTCGTAGATCTATTGATACACTTTTAGAGAGAGGATAAAGAAGATATCATGAAGGAAAAAAATAAAAAGAAGATACATCTTATTAAGAAAAGATTGGTAAAATAGAATGTGAATATTAAATTTGTAAGACAATGATTTTGAATGCTGCTATGATATTAGATTCTCTTGGAGGTAGACATATGTAATCACTTAAAGCTGTAAGTGAAGTTAAAGTAGCTATACCAAATAAATGTTAATGGATTAATGATGAATGCATTCAATTATTTGGTGCTTAAGGGATAACTACAGATTATATTTTGTAAATTGCATTTTAGGCTAGTAAATCAGTTCGATTGATGGATGGTCCTTGTGAATTACATAAAAAGTAAGTAGCAAGATTCACTTAAGGAAGTCATATGTTCAATGAATTAGTTAATGTAAATGGATACATAGCTAATCTTTGATTTAAATTGAACAATTTAAATATATAATAAAACAATATAAATAATTATTTTGATTTTAATGGTTATTTTTATGCTTTTTCATTTCTTAGATTTTTTTTATGTCTATTTCGGATTGTTCATAACTTAATCGATATCTCTTTAGATATCATCATCTATCTCTACATTTTTACCTTTCTTTGTCTAAACTTGTATTTATTTTTATTAAACTTATTATTATTATTTAGTCTATTTTCCTGATTATTATTAGACTTAATCATCATTATTGATTTGTTTCTACTATTATTATTTAATTTATTATTAATGTTTGGCAGCAGGTTAAATTGATTCGGATTCAAAGTCATCAACATTATTATCTATAGTTGATTTCATTTATTTTTCATCAAACTATAGTTTTTTAGGATACACATTACTTTCTCTGATTTCTTACGTTTCTTATCATTTGTTTCAATTCCATTTTTATCATTATAATCTCTCAAATCTATTCCATATTTTTCTTTTGCTGCATTATATTAATCAACATAAGGCTATTCAAATTATCAAAAATCTATACTTTTTTCTCTTATTCAGTCATAGATTACCATTTACTTCCAGCCATCTAAGATATTTAAATAAGTTTAATCTCTATGAATATTTCTCAATATAATAAATACCTGGATTACGTTCAATTACTTTCTCTCTATACTTCTAATTAAATAAAAAGAATGGTGTCAATGGTTTTTTAGGTGCATTTGGATCTCGTTCCTTCTTTTTCTCTGTTTTTGATATCTCAGGCACATTCTAATCTTTCAAAAATTGTGAACAAAACTTGTTCATGTGAGCAAAGAACTGTTAGAATTTCTAGGCAATTTCAATAACCTATCATATCGTGATTAACTAGTATACAAATTAGTTATGGTCCATAATAATATTTATTTAATTAAAATTAATCGATGTAACAATTCAAAAGATTAGTCCCACTCATGAACAGAGTTCTTATTAAGAAGTTGGAAGTTCCAAATAAAACTTAAAGTGGCATTCTTCTTAATACTGGAGATACAAAGAATCCAGCAGGAGTAGTTATTGAAGTATATCAATTAATATTAATGAAAAGGCTGGAGAAGGCTATTATGACCACAAAGGGGATTTTGTTAAAATTTGTGTTAAAATTGGAGACACAGTTTTACTACCTGAATTTGGTGGATAAAAGGTCAATGTAAGTGGTTAAGAACTTCTCATATTTAGAGACACTGATTTTTTAGGAATATTATCTAGATGATATGTATTATATTAAAAATTAAGAATTATAAATTATATTTTTATTATAATTTATATCAGTTATGATTATAAACTTTGCCTTTATATAATACAAAATCAATTTAATAAACAATTATTATTAAAATACAATCTAAAATGGGAATTTGTCATTCTAAATCAAAGCTTAAAAGAAGTGGAGCATTTCATTGTATTCCAATTGACTTTGATAAATTGAAGAAATACAATTAAGAACGATAACATAATGATTTTAACACTGTCAAATAACAATCTTTTTGTCAACTCATTTGTTAAGATGCAAATAAATTTTCTAATCCATAAACATAAACTTATAATTATGACTAAACTCAATAAATAGAATTTAAAAAACATTATTGACATCTTAAATTTTGTTCAATCTATATACAAAATTAATTCATTAAAAATTCTATATGTTTTCTTTTCATAAAATATTACCAATCTTTTGCTACTTGATTTAAATTCTATATAAATTAACCTTAACATTAATTTTTGTTCCTAAAATTAAGACAATAATAGAACCAATCATATTTTTGGAGTTAAATTATTTTATCAAAGTAATTAATTACAATATCTTCCTGCTTCTTATATAAACAAACTAGAATAAGAATTAATTTGAAATAATTATTAAAATCAATATATTACAAAAATTAATAGATTATTATTAATTTTAATTACTGCTTTCATTTTTATCTTTCATTTCATTAATTTCATTTTGACCTTCTGGACTAATCAAGAGCTCATCCATTTTTAAGAAAGTCTCTATAAGAGCATCTTCAAATTTATGATCTTTAAAATTTTTATTCTTTTCAAGTTCTTCAATAAAATGTTACAATTCATCTTCCTAAAATAGTTGAAGTTTATTATTTTTAAACAATACTTTATCCTTAAACTAAAATAAGATTCACAATTATTAAATTTTTACCTATAGATTTCAATTTACATAATAATAATTTTATAATTTTACAAAAAAGAGATACAAATCCATATATTATAGAAATATGTGGTAATTTTCTAAATACTACGTAAAAAAATCACATTAAATTTAATAAAAACAATGTATATTCTTTATCACAATATGTTGTGACATAATTCAAAATAATACTTCATTTTGTTATTAGACTCATATTATTTGTAGAAGTTTTCAAATAATCAAAATATAATTTGAAAAATGCTATATTATAATTGAATTTAAAATTTAATATTAACAGCTAATTGACATCAGTATGTTATAATAATCAAGTCTTTTATTATAATTATAGAATTCGTGATTATTATAATAACATTTAAGATCTAATAAATCCTAATTTAAAAATATTTTAATGGGTGCCAAAATCCTGATTCCTCCTGATCGAAGTAAAAATACTTGTGTTGATGAAACCAAATACTTTATATATGCATCTTCAGCAATGCAAGGTAAATCATTTATTTAAGGATATAGGTTGGAAAGGAGATATGGAAGACGTTCATATTCATGTATGTGACTTTGCACCGGATATTTCTCTCTTTGGTGTCTTTGATGGCCATGGAGGCAATGTTTTTGCTCGATTTGTTTAGAAACATTTTATTGAAGAACTTGAAAAGAATAAAAATTTTAAAGATCATAAATTTGAAGATGCTCTTATAGAGACTTTCTTAAAAATGGATGAGCTCTTGATTAGTCCAGAAGGTCAAAATGAAATTAATGAAATGAAAGATAAAAATGAAAGCAGTAATTAAAATTAATAACCCATATAATTAGTCAATTTTGCAGGGACTACTGCCAATGTTGCCCTATTTTATAAGAATACACTTTATGTTGCTAATGT